GGGGTCAAAAGTTGTTGACCTTATATCCATGATTTTATCTCACATATGTAGCCCTTGGCAGGTCATGGTGTGCTTTTTCTCTGTCACTGATTTGAACTTCTTAACTCTGTGGAGAAGGGCATCTAATTAAACCTTTTTCAAGAAGTCTTTTTCTAATGATCTAGATTTCAAAGTCTCAAATATAATGACACCTAACATCTCTACTTTTCGGGGGAAAAGAAAACTTCAAAGGTCATTAAAATTTAGATTTCTTACCTCTCATAAATTTTTTCAACTTTTGCTCAGTTCAAAAACAAGTGACATGGAGATAGCCACAGAGAATATTTTTAGAAAGCATATCTATACGCAAGTATAAATAGCCTTTCTGTACATCAGTGCTATTTTGGAACATTGATCTAAAAGGGTTTGGTGAGTACATTTTTGCAAAAGTCCCAATTGTCTGTCAAAATTAAGTTAACTTTGGTCATCCAGGACCTAGCCTCAAGCTGGGAAGTGGAAAAAGAAACTCCTAGAACAGTAAGGACAACAGTGATCATAAAAAGCATCCACTAATATTAAAAGTTCCAAAGAATCTTTTCAGGAACAGGGCTGGGATGTCACTCAGAGATAGTACACTTGCATAGCATTGGAAAGATTCTGGGTTTGATTCTCAGTACTGGAAAAAAAGTAGTAATACTTTAACTACTTAGTATCCTAATCCATTAACAGTGAAATAATTTAAAAGATGGGGATGATGGTATAGTTCAGTGGTCGAGTGTTTGCCTGGAATGCGTGGAGCCTATTATTCAAGCCCAAGAAGGTCACTATTCAACAAGTAATTTTTTATTTTATTTTATTTTATTTTTTTTGTCGGTCGTGGGGCTTGAACTCTGGGCCTGGGCGCTGTCCCTCAGCTCTTCAGCTCAAGGCGAGCGCTCTACCACTTGAGCTACAGCGCCACTTCCGGTTTTCTGGGGTTTATTGGAGATAGGAGTCTCACGGTCTCTCCTGCCCGGGCTGGCTTTGATCCCCAATCCTCAGATCTCAGCCTCCTGAGTAGCTAGGATTACAGGCGTGAGCCACCAGCGCCCGGCTAACAAGTAATTTTTTTAAATACCTACAGTGCTCTATGCATTTTATTAAACATCAGGGAAATGAAAATGAAAATATAGAGCGCCAAACCCATACTTAAAGAGTTTGATGTCATGGTAGGCCCTGCACTGTTCTGTTTATGAGAAGATGAGACAAGCCCTCTTGCAGACACTGATTCTTGAGGATGGGATAGGTAAGGAAGAACCTGGTTGGGGAACAGCTTCATGTGGCTACAGCTGTGACTAGCAGAGGTAAGGCCTGAATCTTGGAATATATATATATATTTCAAGGTTTAAGTGGATGGATCCATGTAACCAAATGCCTTGCATTTTCAGAGTTAATTATTTCATTTGCTACTTTCTGACAAGCCACATTTTAAACAGAGTAGCTACTTTTCCAAGGTGTTAATATACTTGTTTGGTTAAAATGTTATAAAATGGAACCACTTCAGGATCCTGACCTTATACTAGACACTATTTGTGTTTAACTACCTTTATTCCCCTTCTGATCATGGAACAGGGCCTGTGCTTGCTAGACAAGCACTCTTACCACTGGAGTCACACCGTAGCTTAATTACTATATGTAGAGAATTGCTACAAAACTAGTTGATATAAAACCTAAAAATGTCTAGACATAATAGCTGAAGTTAATTTGATAGCTTTAACTATTTTTTATAAAAGAATTATCATTTGTCTCCACATGAGTGTTACTGTTCTCTACTTTCAGTGGAGGCACAGAAAATCTGTGTCATGGAATTCTAAAAGTATGAACAAACAAACTATCTTAGGACCAAATCCTGTATGCTCAACAATGGTGCAGTTCTGCCCAAAACTTGCAATGCAGTTAAGGTTAATGAGACTTTGACTAATGATAGTACCTTAGGGATGGGCAATGCTGAGCTTTAATCACATCAAGAACATAAAGGTTTTTGGATCTTTTAACCTAATTCCATGCCACCTTTAAGTGCCTACTGTGTGCTGCACTATATCCAACTTTGGGGACACAAAAAAGGAAGAGGATAAAATCTCCCTAAAAGGATAAAATCTTACAATTTAGATTGGTAGTGTACAGTACAATTAAGTGAATTGCATACTTTGTACCAAGACCAATATAGATTACTCTTCCAAAATTACTCCATTTGGCCTTATAAGTATTTACAAGCCTTTGAAATGTTCCTGTGCGTGCATTTTCTTAGTCATTGTTTATCCAGGGACACATAAAATCAACATTACTTCCTGTTTCTTGTCCAGTCAGAGGGATTACTCATAATTTAAAAACATTCTCAAAAAACTACTTCAACATGGAGTATGTATAAATATAAAGTTTATTTAGCATAGTGTTTAGAAAAATAAGTTCACATCATTTCAGAAAACAAATAAAACACTTAATTGTCCAGGCATAAATCCCCATTACAGTACAACATACATACTTTAGATCTCTTTGGTTGGGTAATTAAGCACAGAAATGTTCTGGGACATGCTCTGTGTGCCATCCCCTAACAAGTGCAGTAAAGTCTATGTCCCCCTACCCCATGACATACATTCTGTGTAGAGTTTTGCTTTGAGTAAGGCACAGTAAAACCACAGAGTGCATAACCGGTTGCCTCTAAACATACAGTACATGCAGCAAAAGAATAGTTTTGAGAACCCTGAAAGCCAAAAGTCACATGCTATATCATTTTGATTCATAAAACATACAGTGGTAATATTTAACTTGAACTGTATCAATTAGATACAAAATAACCATTAGGCTCTATTGTCTAAGTTTTTAGGAAGAGTTTGAAACCATGTTTTTATAAAATATAAACCTTTCCCCCAGTTTTCCCGAATTGTTTTTATGAGATGATCCATCAAAACAGAACTTGTGGCTATGTAGACGCACACTTGGCTAGGATATAGCAGGGCAAGCCCCTACACATGCCCGCTGATCCAACTGTTCACATGCAAGATAAGATTTAAGTTCAGTGTGCAGTTTAACTATGGATTAAAACAACAATAACAACAACAATCTATGGCTATAATAGCTATCTGCCTTTCACAAACATGAAAGACACTGAAATGTGTGTATAATTCAGCCTTTACTATAAATATACATGAGATGTAATGCAGTACAACACAGGTGCTCTTGCTTACTTGAGATACAAGTGCACCTTCTCTTTAAATGATAGACCATCCTATCTAAGATGTAATTCAGAGCTATATTGTCATTGCTGACTGATAGAGTGCATAGACAGGCCAACTCCAAAAACAATTCTCACAGCCAGCAGCAGGGGTTGGGTTTTAATGGGAGTTATTTGCCTCTTTGTGATTCCTCTTCAGGGATCATTAGAGGGTCACTTGCAGCATCTTCAAGCATTGGTTTATGTAAGAAGGATATTCTGTCACATGAATTCTAAGGGTCCTGAGTCTGGCCCATAGTATTAAAAACAACAACAACAACAACAAAACCAGAAACAAACAAACAGAAAAACCCTGCAACTCTGTGCAAGATCACGGGGTTTATATTATTCCATTCACATATATATGGGCTACATATCAACTGGCCCGTATTTTACTGAAAGAGTAGGAAAGAACTGTAAGTTCTTAATAATGTGCATTGATCCTTACCTGGTATATTGTGTAGCTACCTGGAGAAATAGTAGGGTTATAATTATATCATGTTGGAGGATATGAATGTGTTTCCTAGGTAAGAGTTAAGCTTTGTGCTATGTTTTCTTTCTCAAAAGGGAGGAAAGAGGAAGAACTCTGAATAAGAGACTTACTATATTTTTGGAAGACATATACAACTTTTCCAGTTATATACATGTAACATATATAACCTTTTAAATCTTCCTCTCTCCCTTACTGGATAGTATTTTTAAATAATTAACAAACTCTTAACATCTGCAGCAATCAAAAGAGGAAAACATCCTTTTTTTATGTAAACTATACTACAGATTCATGTAATTATTTTCAATAACATGGTCAACACACAACCAAAGAAGGAGGAAACAAAAAAACAAAACAAAACACCAAGCTGTATTAGTAGTGGAAAAGTGGAAGAGAACTCTAAACACCGGACTGTGTAAAAAACAAAAACAAAAACATGTCCTCTCAGCAGTTTAGAACATTCACTAATTCCATTAGAAAAATGGGACCTAAGTTCTTTATCAAAATGATGGGAGAGAAGCTGGTCATTGATAGCTCATTCCTGTAATCCTAGCTATGCAAGAGGCTGAAATCTGAGGATTGTGGTTCAAAGCCAGCCTAGGCAGGTAAGTCTGTGAGACTTTTATCTCCAATTAATCACAGAAGAAAAAAAAAGAGTGGAGCTGTGGCCCAAGTGGTAGAGTTTTAACTTTGAGCAGAAGATGCTCAACAGAGCCAGAGTTCAAGCTCCAGGACCAGAAAAGAAAAAAAAAGGCTGGGAGAGGAAATCTTCATAGGACTCTTTGTCTATGCTTCAGGTTGTATTTGTAGTAGTAACAGCATAGAGTAAGTAGTTTAGGGCCCTTATTAACATGCTTAGCTGATGGGCTTGTAGAGATCTAAACGTACCCTTTGACCTCATCCTAAAGAAAGCAAGATATGATAACATCTTTGCTTAATAATCATAGGCCATCTCTGAAAAGATCATTTTCTCACTTTTCTGGCTTTTTCTGGAGATCACAGAGTAATTACTACATAAATGTATTTGCATTACTACATCTTGCATTCAACATCCTGATTAAAAAAAAACTTTAAACACAGCTAATATTATCAAACACAATTCTTACAGAAAACCAACAGATCTGTTTTGAAAGAAGAGATGAAAATGTAGTGCAAATAGTCATGTGTCATAGTTAACAACCAATTCAAAACAGGGAAGATGAAAGGACAACTGGACAGAATTCATGAATTCTATTTACGTTACTTTAAAATGGTTTTTATCGTCTGTAGAATTGATTTTACGTGCTCTTCTATGATTTGTTTTACTGTAATGAAAGCCATCAACAATAGTTGGTTACTCATTTGTATGATGTTATACATAATAATACTTGTGGAAACTTAAGTTCTCCAGGTTAAAAACAAATTCTGTGATAGAAATTAACCCTGTTAGATAGTAGGAAAAAAAATAAAACCATCAGTGCTTCTGTTGATACTTCTGTACCTTACTACTAATATAAAAAGGCCACAAGGTAAAAAGGCACATAGAATTCTATATAAAACATATCTAAATGAACCAGAGTTGCTAAACAAAGATGTGAAAGAAAAGAACCAAAATTCCAATATTGGGAGTTAAGAGTTAATGTTTCAGTATTATTAATATTGACCATAATAGACTCCTAATAAAAATCATTGCTTTTAAAATCCTACAAAAAGTAAAACTTTGTTGGAAACAAAGATGTTCACTTCCTGTTCAAGCAATAAAAATAAATTAAACAGTAAGAAAGCATTTTTTCTTTTCAGTTCATAGCGCCCGAAGTATAAGAGAAACACACAGTATAAATAAAATTTGCTGTACTCACTCAAATCCCGCTTATAGAATTGAGATTATATTTACATTCACACTGAAGCCTGTTTCAGTTTTTAGTGGAGTTTCAAACTTTCTTAGTCACATTAAACTATTAGCAGTCACATTTGGAAATGTGTGGAGACTTAAAACCAAGACTTTCTCAAAAATGCTGAAAAACATAAATGTATGTATGCATGTACATATACATATACATATATTTAAACTACTTAACTTCCAAAATATAGTCTTATAATAGTTTGGAGTACCATTTATGTTCCTTAATCAGATCAATGCCCATGAAGTAAAGTAAACAAAAACAAATTGCATTGTTTCTAATAGTCTGTACCTATATTTAATTTTCTATTGTTAGATGTATATACTTTCAATATAAAAAATGATCAAGTTTCACTTCAACCTTAGACCTGTATTGCCAACTAAATGGCATATTCTCACTTGATACACTTCATCTTATTCCTTCCTTGCCATCTCCTTAGAGATTATATGTGAACACAAAGGCAGCGCTAGTGCATTTCTGCTCCTGTGTAGTTAACTGTGGTCTTCACGCAGATCAACCCAGTCTTTTTTGAATGCAATTATTTGCACAATTAGATTGTTTTCCTTTAAATGGGAAAATGCTTTATATTTTGGAGCTTCATGTAACAATTTGTTGCTGATGCCAACAGAAATGTGTGTGTGTGTGTGTGTGTGTGTGTGTGTGTTGGGAAGGGGGTGTATGCAACAATGTTTATAAGTCTTGCATATCTTCATCCAATTGGACAGTCTGAAGCTTGGCCAGTTCCTTTTTGTCTGTTTCCAGGTCTTCACAGACAGTCTCAACCATGCCATCTAAGACATACTTGGATTTAGAGTCCAACATCATTAAGATACTTGTGGCTTTGCTGTCAGAATTTTGTAATAAATTCTCTTTTATGTTAGCTACTGATTGCAGAACCAAACGATGTTCTCGGACAAAATCCTGGTGTACTGCTGGGGAGGCATGACCCACTTGGTCTTCGGCTGCAGGAACTATTTCTCCAAGGGCTGCCTGGGTCATAGGAACTGACAGTAGGTCTTGACCAGCAATCAGGGAGCAGTTCTGAAGAGTTGCATAGTTAGTGTTGCTGACAGATGTCACAGTAGATTTGCTTGCCACAGGTGTAGACATTGGCTGGTTATCAGCAATGTCAGGGTTTAACTCAGTGGGATTTAGTAGCAGAGGGGGAGTTAGGGAAAAATTGTGAGTGGGGGATACATTAACTAAGGAGGAGGCCAATGAATGGAGGCTGCTCCCGGAGATATTTTCTGATGAGAGGTTTGCATTTGCTTGTGTATTCTGATTGACAGGCATCAGCTGAGAAAACACCAGGCTTCTTTCTAAGCCTTCCTGTTTCACAGATCCTACAGTCTGGCCTGAATTAGGAACAGTGTAGACCACTGCACTGGGAGCAAGAGAGCTCAAGAAAATCTTTCCTTGCTGGACTGTGGCAGACTCGCTTGTAAATGTGCTCCCATCTGAAGTGCTTGAATTTACTGAAACATTACCTAGAAAAAATGAGGTAACAATTAACAGGAATAGAAATAATCAGGACCAAAGAGCTACTTTACACACTTTTTTCCTCATGAGAAGTGGTATTTCCATGTAATAGTTTAGCTCAATCATTCTGAACAGATTTCCAGGACACAGACAGACAGACAGACAGACAGACAGACAGACAGACACACACACACACACACACACACACACACACACACACATATCTAGAAGAGCAATAGCATTGTTTTGAACCATAGCTCCACTTCAAAGCTTTTTGGTGGTTAACTGGAGATAAGAGCCTTAGGGACTTTCCAGCTAAGACTGGCTTTAAACCCCAGTCCTCAGATCTCAGCCTTCAGAGTAGCTAAGATTATAGGTTTGAGCCACCAGTGCTGGGCTAGCAATCGCAATAATTTTATTTCCCCCAAGTAATTCTGAGGAAAGTGAGAACTACAAGTCTAGAAACCAAGTGTACAGGCTTGGGAAGAAGCTCAGTGGTAAAGCACTTGGCTAAGCTCAATCAAGACAAAAAGAAAACAAGAAAACAAGTAGACTAACATAGCCAATAATCCTAGAACTCAAGAGGCTGAGGCATGAGGATAATGAACTTGAGGGCAACCTTGATTACATAGTGAGTGTCTATCTAAAAAAAAAAAAAAAAAAAAAAAAAACCTCTTGAAAATTAAAGAAAAAGAAAACCAACCAACCAAACTAACAAACAAAAAATGCTTCAAATCAAGTGTGAAAAAAAGAAATACCATTCAGGTCCTAATTTCAGCCGTTTTGGTTTATTATTATGAACTTGACATCTCTTAATTGAGTTATCATTAGCCCTGCCAGTTAGAACTAGAGACCATAAATGCAAAGTAAAAATGTCTTGTTTACTCAGTAACGACATAAAATACAAGTGGAAATGTAGAAATACCACATAAAATGAGTTTCCATAGGGCTTAAAAGTTAACCACATAAACCTGTTCAGACAAGTCACAAACTTTCACCAAACTAGCCATAAAGTAACATCAAGCCAACAAAACATTCAAAAGGTTTTTCATCTTTTGTTGTGCTAGTTCTGGAGTTTTAGTGTTGCAGAGATAGGAAAAATTAATAACAATGACATGTGCTTTTAAAAATACATATTAAATAAAATAAAGACCAAAGCTAATGCTTCTCTAAAAGGCTCTCATTATAATGGTCTATAGAGACAAGAAGTAGAAAAAGGAATGTAAGTGGAAAGCAAGAGATGTTCACGTCAGATAACTCAAAATAAATGACTTAGATTGCTCCCCCAGTCTCTATCAAATAAAATGCTTTTCCGAGTCCTTACAAAGACAGAAATTAGATGATACAGAGCCCCACATCCTGCCATTGAAAGAAAGGTGAATTTGAGGGGAGTTTTGTGATAGAATTCAAATAGGCTATTTACCCTAACCTTCAATTAGATAGATGTTCAGTCAATCCTTCACTATTTGAGAAAACAGCCCTATGTTAAATTAGGTAATTCCCTCAAAACATTTCCCTTCTTATATCAGAACTGTGATTACATTGCCATCTATAGTGATAAAATAAGAGTCACAGAGCTGCTTATAATCTTCCAAGCATTCTCAAGCACCCTGATGCAAAATCATGTCTTTAAATGAGGGGAAAAGATGAAATACTGTATTTGAACTCCTTTTAAAACTGTAATGACCAGAAAGTATTCCTCACAGAAATAATCCTCATTAGTGTTTAAAATAAAAATACTAGTTGGTACATTTGGGCTATCTCCTAACAAATTTATTTATTTCTTTTTTCAAATTACACAAATATAAAAACCTGCTTAATTTGAAAATATTTGGCCTCAACCTAATTATGTCTTATAGGCTACTGAAGTGTAACAAAATATCTGAAAAAGCTGCTTGTTTTGTTTTGTATATTTGTAAAATTGTGTAGCAGTACATATGAACTAAATGATTAGTGACTTTCTGATAGAACCATAAGTAACAATAGAGGCAACTTTTTTTCCAATGGCAATGGTATGCAAGCAAAATGATTATTTCTGTATGTGAAAAAAGTATAACATATAAACAAAGGAGAAAAGACATGTTTTAAAAGATCATTTTAAAGTATAGCTGCAATTGAGTTATAAGTAGAAACTCAAAAATCAGTAAAAATGAGCTGAAAAATCTTGATTACAAAGCCTAACTTTGTAATGAAGATTAAAAACCCTCATTTTTTCCCCTAAGATTATAAAGTAGTAAGAGCTTTACACCTGTATTCCTAGCTACTCAGGAGGCTGAGATCTGAAGATCATGGTTTGAAGCCATCCTAGGCCAAAAAGTTGGTGAGACTGCCTCCAATTAATCAGCAAAATGTCAGAGCGGAGGTGTGGCTCAAGTGGTAGTGCATCAGCCTTCAGGAAAAAAAGTTACATGAGAGTGGGAGGCCTTGAATTCTAGCCTGCGTACTGGCACAAAAATAAAAAAAAAATTGAAATAAAGTTATAAAAGATAGATACATAGGCTCAATGATAGCCAAGACAAGTGTATCTTGCCTAGAGATTTTAGGCTTAGTTTGTTTTTCGAGAAAAGTCCAAATCCCAAAATGCTTTATTGAGGACTGAAATCCACAACTACTCTAAATGAACATTGCTTGCTGGACAAATCTGGTTAGACTTATACCCTCAATTTACCCAATCTAAAGATTGACAGCTGCCATTTGGTTTTAGCTATTTTAACTGGTAAATCTGTTCTTATTTTTACTCTGTATCTAATTTAAAAATTAACTATTAGCTCATAATAATTTTCTATGATACCACTTTTTCTAGATTAAAAATGAAAAGTATTTTTGACATATTTACTCATACTTTTTGCTCAAATTTGTCATTACCTTTCTTAAAGAGGGAAAGTGTAAGATCTATATTGAATTATTGTAAAACTAAGCACTTTGGCTTTCTCTGTGGATTTTGTATTCTTTCCCTCGGGATAAGCACTTAGCTTAAGTCTATAACCTGGAGCATAGAATGATGTAAGGTTGTTACTACCATTTACCTAAAGAGAAACAAAATATACCGGATGAAACTTAAAATCATCTTTCTATGAGCGCATCCAAAAAAGCTGAAGTTGATCATAGTTGTAGAAACAACAGATTCGTGCATTAATTGACTTTTGTTTTGTAAAACTATCCTACAGAGAGACGATTGGTTAAGGCTAGCAATTTAAAGGCACATGTGCACCAATATATCCCAATCCTAAATTGAATATCAAGTGTGCACCCTCCACTGCTACATTCTTACCAATCAAGAACTGACCTATCATGCTCCGGATTCCGGAATTTCAAGTCAGTGCTTTCTCTGGCTGCTTGCTATCAGTAAAGCCACAGACATACACAGTAAAGTTTATGACTTTAAATAAATAAACCTATATTTAGATGACCATATACCTAAAGTAATAGAAACCTATGCAAGCCAAATGCTGGTGGCTCTTGCCTCTAATCCTAGCTACTTAGGAGGCTGAGATCTGAAGGTTGTGGTTTGAAGCCAGCCTGGGCAGGAAAAGTCCATAAGACTCTTGTCTCCAATTTAGCAAAACACCAGAAGCAGAGTTGTGGCTCAAGTGGTAGCACACCAGCCTTGAGTGAAAAAGCTAAAGAAAAGACCCAGGCTCTGATTTCAAATCCCAGCATCAATACACATACACAGACAAAGAAGGAAAGAAAGGAGGAGGGGAGGTGGGAAGGAAAGAAAGAAAGAAGGAAGGAAGGAAGGGAGGGAGGGAGGGAGGAAAGGAAAGAAAAGGGAGGGTGGGAGGAGGGAGGGAGGGAGGAAAAAGAGAGAGAAAGGGAGAAGAAATCTAATCATATGTTCCTCTGGAGATCTCTTCAGGTTTTAGTCTTAATTATAGGAAGGAATATGATTTTTAAAAATAGAGTTGGTCTTTTTAGCTTATTCTTTTACATTCCCTGGCCAAATAAATGCTTAAGCTTAATGCTTACCAACTATTTGACTAACTTTGTGTTCTTAGCAGTGTTATTAATTTTTAATTTTAAAATGTCAAGTAGTGGGTTCGTTTGTAAGCACTGATAAATATGATAAAGGCTTATTGTATTTCTATAATTGTACAATTGGCAAGACTTTTGATAAGCTGTAGTTTTCCATTCAGTTTTGGGAAAATGAAAGCCCATCCTCCGGATGTGAGGGAACTAAGCAAGCAGGCTGTAACACAACTGTTGTGAAGGACACTCTTTTTTTGGGGGGGGCAGGTGGCCCGGTTGTGGGACCTGAACTCTGGGCCTGGGCGCTGTTCCTCAGCTCTTCAGCTCAAGGTTAGCACTCTACCACTTGAGCTTTTTGCTTATGTGGTGCTGAGGAATCGAACCCAGGGCCTCAGGCATGCAAGGCAAGCGCTCTATCACTGAGCCACCTTCCCAGCCCATGAAGAAGACTCTTATCAATGCTATTCTGCAGCTGTGGAGAGCCAATGGGATTCCTGAACAGTAACATCAATTCATACTTCTCAGTAAATGCGTCATTTATAACAGCTGACCAACACATTCACTATTATGATACCAAATGAGGCTTTTACCTTGTGATGCTGCCACTGAGACAGGAGGCAGCTGCAGTGGAGAGAATCCAATGCTCCCATTAAGGAACTGGCTGTTTGTTCCGGAATTAGGGATCTGGACAATGCCATATTGGTTAATTTGAACTGGTGTAGTAAAAGTCACTACAGAGCCCCCATCCTGGGAAGCTGCTGCTTGAATGTCTTCTCTTTTCACCTCAGTGCTAGGTATCAGCCCAGGGAATGACACAGGGGCACTGGGGCTGTATGCGGTGGTGGCTGCTGAATTCGCTTCAGAACTCTGGAGGACTTTGAATTCCTTTACATCCTGGGAGGTAGATCCCAGTATGTCAGTCATGGCCATACCATTGCTCACAATGTTCGAAGACATTTTGGGTGGGTTCAGTGACACTGTCTGTGCACTCCCCACATTTAACCCATTAAGGATAACTCCATTGTGTCCCTGAATAAGAGAATTACCATTAAGGAAAACAGGTGAAGTATTCGTAGGTACCAAGCTTCCATTCAACAAAACACCAGAAGAGCTTAACGATATCTTAGCATTTCCAATTTGCTGCATATATACTGGTTCCATGTGACTAGAAAGGCTGAGGTTGGTGACACCATCTGAAGAACCTGAGATTGGGTGTGGAGACAAATCCTCATGACCCTTGCTGCATTCATCTTCAGTGCTGGGATTGCCATCCGACTCACTGTGTGGAGAGGGAAATCAAGTCATTCAGAAGGTCAAGGGAGGACACGTTACCTAGTTTGGAAAACAGCCTTTAAACCCATTAAAGGAAGTATTTAAGGAAAGCACAGCAGGATGTCTTCTAGTCCTGTTTTCACTAGGAAGCCTTTCAGTAGATTCTGACACGCCAGACAATTTGGGAAGATGAACTCTCAGCTTCAAATCAGTTAAGTAAGGTGGTCAGGCTTTCCTGTTTAGGAATATCTTCCCCTCCCTCAAACCATCAAACCAAATTAGTGTTGTTTTAGAGAGAGATGAATTGCCAGAGGACTGGGAGTTGTGAAGTGTTTAGCTTTTTTTTTTTTTTTTGCCAGTTAACAGGAGACCCTTTTTCTCACCTGCTCCCAAACTTCTATTCCACCAGACTGACAACTCTCATTCAACAAAGTGGCTGTCCTTGTTGTAGGAAAGACACTTTAAACCCAAGAACAGTTATGTGCAGTCGCTTTTGAATCCAAAGGAGGCCATGAGGGCTTATTTTAGCAAATACCGTCCTGTGCCCTGGTGAGGTGGGAGGGAAAGGAGAGTTACCTAGCGGCCAAGTAACTATCAGACCCTTCCCAGAGTCCTCAGTGCTGTTTCAGGCAAGACTAGGTCTGCTTCCCGACTCGGGGGCAAGACCTAGTCTGGGTGTTGAGGAGATGCTGAGGAGGCTTTTCGCCATTTGGATCCTAGCTGGGGGTGGGGGTGGGGCAGGGCAGAGGCAGTTTGAAAGCCCAGTGAGAGTCTTGGCCCAGCAGAGGAGCCAGGATGGGATCCTACATCCCAGCAAAGGCCCCGCGGTATGCTGCTCACTTTCAAGCGGAGGAGAAGGGAGGGGATTAGCCTGGCTTTGGGCTGCGGGGCCAGGAGCGCAGAAAGCGCTTTGATTTATGAGCTGAGGCTGAGCCGCAGTCGCCGTCTGCGAGGGTGACTCACCAGGGTGCAGGTGGGAGGTAGATCCGGAGAGGGGGGTCTAAACTAGGCAACTGGGCCTGGGGTGGGAATGTGGAGTTAATGGAGGGGGGCAGGTTGTGGCAGCGGGGGGGGAGAGAGAAGGACAGGACTCAGGGAACAAGCCCGGGCTGCAGGGCAGCTGGCTTGCCCGCGGCCTAGCAGATCCTGTCGGTGCCCGGAGCGCCGGGATCCGCGTCTTCTAGCAGGCGCAGGGACAGGTGACCTAACTTGGGCGGCTTCTCGGAGTTTCGAAGTCTGTGGAGGGCGCGCGTTTTGTGTATGGTTACCGCGAAGCCCGGCGGCGGCCCCCCGCGCGCCTCTCTCCCTGCCCGGGGCGAGGAACGCGGCGGCCGTCGGGGCCCCGCCGCCCAGCCCCGGCCGAGCGCGCGCAGGAGCCGCCGCCGCAAGGGCGCGCCGCCCGGCTCTGGAATGCGCCGGTGATCACCTTCACCTGGCCCAGGCCGGCCCGGCTCCTCCGCGGCTCCCACATTCCTTCCCGGAGAAGAATTTTAAGAGCTGCGTGCGGATGATCTTTTCTCTCCGATCCCCGCAAGGACGGCAACAGCCTTTCTGAAGACGATCCTTTTCCGTACTCTACTCTGTCCAGCCATACACCACACACCCCAAGTGTCTGACTGCCGGAGAACACACAAAAGAGGTGCCAACCCTGGCACTTTCTACTGGAATGGTGGAGGGAGGGGGGGCCCAGGAGGAACCTGCCAGTCGAAAAGTTCCAACGTGATAAAGTGGGGGGCCCCAAAGGGCACCCGGATGGATGGCGCCCCACGTTTTCTTCTTTCAGCCCGCCTAGTGCCCGGCTGCCTCTCACCCCCAACTACCCTCTCAAGAAAGGGAGTCACGTTGAGTTTGGGGGGCCTAAGAAAAGGCCCCAAAGCCCAGCTACCCCGCGGCGCTGAAACTCGAGCCGAAGTTGTTCAGAATCAGGTTTCAAAACACACCGAGCCGAGCCGCACCGGCACCTCGCGTTGCCACGGCAGCCACGGGAACCAAGCGGGCCGGGTGAATGATTAACTCTGTCACATTAAAGCCCCGTGGTCCCCAGACCCCTCTAGGGCCGCCAGCACCCGCCCCCCGCCCGAGCGCTCTCTTCCCTCCACAGCGACCCGCGCGACCTCCAGGACCCACAGGCCTGGGGCTCAGCCGAACCCTGAAGACCGTGGCCAGGTCTGATCGACCCGGGAGCTGGGGGGGGACAGACCCTCGCCGGCAGCCTGAGCCGGCCTGGAGTGGGGGGGGGGGGGTGAGAGCTGCCTGGCCGGCGTCACACCCGCTTCCTGCGCCCGGCTACAGCCGGGGAGAGAGTGGCAACTTCAAAGCCAGCGCGTTGGGGGTGGGAAGCCGGGCAGCGGTGACCGGGCGAGGTGGGGGCGGGGACTGAGCCCTAGGCGAGCGACCAGAAACTTCTGGGGGCTGGAGGGGGGGAGGGAGGGTAAGGAGAGAGGCTCTCCCCTCCTACTCCCTTCTCAGGGCCACCACCGCCCCCCTCCCGTGCGGAGCGCCGAGGAGGGGAGGGGGGGGAAGCGAGGTGGGGGGCGGGGAGAGGTGGGCAGCCGGACTGGGCTGGTGGGGAAGGTAAGCGCCATGTTTGCCAGCAGCACTGGGAGGAAAAGAAAGCCGGGAGAAGGGGGTGGGGGGGGGGGGAGGAAGAGGAGGAGGAAAAGTTGGCGCTCACCTTTTGGACTGGGTCTCGGAGGGGTTCCGGTCGCGCTGCCGGCGGTTTTTGAACCAGTTGCTGACCTGGGTGAGGGAAAGGCCGGTGATCTTGGCCAGGTGCCGCTTCTCGGCGGGCGACGGGTAGCGATTCTGCTTGTAGAGCTCCTTGAGCGCGTTGCGCGACTTCTCCTTGAAACAATACACGGTCTCCTCGCCGTCCCAGATGGTGCGGGGCAGGGGGAACTTCCTGCGCAGCCGGTACTTGTCCACGGCGCCCAGGGGCCGGCCGCGGGCTCGCTCGGCCTCGGTGTAGCGCGCCTTGTACCAGAGCTGCTGCAGCAGCGGGTGGTTGGCCGACTCGAAGCTGTGGCTCTCGAGGATGCTGTAGAGCTCGGGGTAGATGCCCTGGTGGAAGGCCACGAGCGCCCGCGCCTTCAGCAGGCTCTCGTTGCCACGTAGCAGATCGCTCTGGGGTAGGGACCACAGGAACCGGGCCAAGCGGTCCAGGTGACCCCCTTGCTGCAGCGCCTCGCACACGCAGGCGACGTGGTCGGGCGAGAAGGCCAGCGGGGTCCGCGCGGGGGCGGCGGCGGCGTGGTGCGGGTGCCCGCCCAGAAGTTCCGAGTGCAGTTGTACCTGATCCGCCGCCGCCCCGGCCACCGCCACCGCCGCTGCCCCTTCCTCTCGGCTCACCCTGGCGGCGGAGGCCGCCGCGGCGTCCCCCGGCTCCAGGGGGAACGAGGCTGGAGCCGGGGGGCTCAGCCTGGCCGCCGCGCCCCCCGCCACCTCGCGGTGCGCCTCCTGCCCTTCCGAGGCACTTTCCATCCCATTCTCCTGCTTGATGTCCGCCGCACTTGCAATCTGCCCGGTGGGGGAGGAAGAGGACATGTTTGTGTGTGTGTGTGTGTGTGTGTGTGTGTGTGTGTGTGTTGTTTATTTTCCTCCCTCCCTCACTCCCTCGCACTCTTTTCCTCTTTCTCCCCCCCCCCCCTTACTCCTCCTCCTTCGTCTCTCTCCCCCCTCCCCCCTCCGGAAAGCCCACTCCCTCCCTCCCGGTTTCGGCTGGATCTGGCCGATCAGGTTTCCCCCCCGGCCACGCAGTCACCATTAAGATAGCTGCTAGAGCAAAGTAGTGTAAACGGATAGCTGCTTTCTGCCGTTCCCCCAACGTGACTCCTCCGGTTGCTGCATACTATAAGGCACTGGCGGCCCAGCCGGCCGGGACGAGCCACCTCATTGGCTATTTCGCATTCAGAAGGAGGAGGAGACACCGTTTCTATCCCTGTCGATCACCCGCCTCCCACTCCACCCCTTGCCTTTCCCTCTCTCGTTGACCCCCAGGCACCTATACCTGAAGGAAAATACCAACATTCTTTTCAGGCCCGGTTCCTGGACCGACAAGTACTCTAGGTGTGCCTTGAAAACCGGACAACTCTTTCAAAGAAAAGTCCCAGGGATCCAGTGGGAATATTAAATGGTGCGGCCTTGAGGGCTGGACAGCTAAATTCTTAACAAAGAGACCACCCTTAGAAAGTGGCTGCCAAACCTGCAGAGAGAAATTCACAAGCTTTCCAGCACCTTCCTACTCCCTTCCCCCATTTTGATGTCCTTGTGCAGGTTTTGAAGTGAAAGGGGTCAAGAATAGACCAGTACCGAGGAGGCAAGCATTTACAGTAAATTAAAATACCAAAGAAGGTAAGATGCTTGAAATTTTGAAATAGTGGATATGAATAGCCCACTGAAAGATGGAAACCTTCAAAAAAAAAAAGTGCTTAACCTTGCCACGTGGCAAGAGAAAGAAGATATAATTAAACATTTAGAATATTAAACTATGTTTATCCTAGATAAGTTGTGTGGTGGAGCTCTAAGACCTAAGTTATAATGATCTGGAAATGTAAATCCAATGCACTAACATTTTTAATACAGATGTAAATAGTTATTCTTTGATTTTTTTTTTCTTTTCCATTCTGGGTATGGATGAATAGTTTCTTTGGAGAAATTTCTTTGGCGGAAACACCATCTCTATTGCAGGTGTGTTGGAGGAATTCCATAACCCTTTCTACAGTATGGACAGATGGAAGATGGTCTTCGGGTTTGTGGCTAAGTGTGGGGTGGAGTCTGTTGCTATTTCCAGTTATCTCTCATCTCATCATGGTTTGCTCCAGGTTTTAGCTCTAACAGGGATGAGCCCACTTTTGCTTCTGACTACTGTGGGTCAGTTGAGTTGGCTTGCTGCTGCTCTTCCTGAAAATTCAACATTTTAATGGTATCACCCTCATCTTTTGCATTGTTTTTGCTGCCCAGCCACTTATAAGTGCCTACTTAAGCATATTATAAAGCAGCTGTTTAGGTCACCTGCTGGCATGATCAACTTGGTGGGGTCTCTCTCTCTCTCTCTCTCTCTCTTTTGCTGTTTAGGAAACCAAGAGTGACATCTTTGGTAGATTTAGAATCATAATCACAGAAAAGATCACACACTTCTACTCCTTTGGAGAACAATTAATTATCATACTTCCTGGTAATATCTGAGATTCAAAACTCCCTTGAATATTTAAAAATATATGTTTAAATTTTGGAATAATTTTGATTTACTGAGAAGTCATAGAAGTAGTAGATAATGTCTACTCAACTTACATGTAATTTTCTGATGTTAACATCTTACATTCTAATGACACATTTCTCTGAAAACATTAATTCCAACATATTACTATTCACTAAACTCTAGACTTAATTTGGATTACACTAGATTTTTCAATGGCATCTTTTCCTCTGTTTTGTAATCCAATTTAGGTGATCACATTGAATTAATTCCTTGAATTCTGAAAGCATATTTATCAGAAGATCAGCTATCTAGACACAGGTTTAGTTGTGGCTCTGCCATTTAATAAAAGTATAAAAAGTAGACAGGAGGCTAGATGTGGTCATGGTCCTCTGAAATCCTATCTGTGGGGGTAGGGAAGGCAGGCAGAGATAGGAGGATCAGGGTTCCAGGCTAGCTGGGGCAGAAGTTATTGAAGCCCTGCTCAAAAAGAGAGAGAGAGAGAGAGAGAGAGAGAGAGAGAGAGAGAGTTGGCATTGTTATACTTACCTGTAATCTTAGCTATTAGGAGGCATAGATAGCAGGATTAAAATTCAAGGCCAGCCTGGTAAAAGCAATCTCCAACTCCTATTTGAAAAATAAACAGGAAGTAAAAGGATTGATGGTGTGGCTTAGCTGATAGAGTATTTACATAAAAAAGGAACGTGAGTTTTAATCTTGATACTGTAATAAAAGAAAGCAGACAGGCTATTGGGTTAAGATAAGATATGTACCAAAGTCCCTGATACATAACTAAACCTTAGCAAATATTTGTTATCTTCTTATTGATTTGCCTAGTAGGAGACCTTTTAGTTTTATATACCTCATTTACAATTCCTTAGACCATATTATTGGACTGTTGGACATTAGGTCATATGGGTCTGCTCATCAATTGAATATACTCAGTTATCTATTGGGCTTCTGTATGTCTTTTGTATATTTGCCTTGAGTGCAGCAAGTTTAGTAAATTATACAAAAGCAACAGTGGCCTTTTATGGCATCTATATATTGAGTTGAGGAGATGCTCTTATGACCAGAAACCTTGGTTTCTGGATTTCTTGAGAAAGTTAAGACTTAATGCTTATTCTGTATCAACTGACAGTGGATTCAAACAAGATTAGCCACATTGACATGGCACACCAGACTTTGTGAGGAAGTTTGTCTGGCTGTGAACTTTGAGTCTATGTGTTGTCAGGGCAATGGCATGCTGTGTTATGATTTGGGAAAACAGAGTGGAAGCTGAGATTAAATATGTGTGAAAAGCATCAGAAAATTAAACCACTTACTACTGTATCTTATTGCCTCAATATAGTGATGAAGTATTTTCCTTCATCGCTGTCTTTGCCATTTTAGTGTATGGAAAAAAAAAAAACTTGGCTAAATACATTGTGTTATATTTGTTTGAATATATATTTCCATCAAGAATGGAAATTTCCAGCCGGGCGCCGGTGGCTCCCGCCTGAAATCCTAGCTACTAGAGGAGATCTGAGGATCGAGGTTCAAAGCCAGCCCAGGCAGGAAAGTCCATGAAACTTTTATCTCCAATAAACATTCTAAAAAATGGAAGTGGCAATGTAGCTCAAGTGGTAGAGCGCTAGCCTTGAGCTGAAGAGCTGAAGGACAACGCTCAGGCCCAGAGTTCAAACCCCATGACCAACAACAACAACAAAAAAGAATGGAGATTTCCTATTTCAAGGATGACTTTGGCTGAGGGATGGTTATGGTACTGCTTCTTGGTAGTTCTTGCTCTTTCAGAAAGCTAATGCAGTGGTATGGGTAGGGAAGTAGCTTCTAAAACCATCTCTTACCTATTGTTATTTAGTGGTAGCTGGTGATAAGTAGTATTTCTGAAGTAATTAGTCAAACACTTACTAAGTCCTAAAAAAGCATAAAGCATTGCATTAAGAACCAGCACAGATGGGGCTGGGAAGGTAGCTCAGTGGTAGAGTGCTTGCCTTGCATGCATGAGGCCCTGGGTTCGATTCCTCAGCACCACATAAGCAGAAAAAGCCGGAAGTGGGGCTGACGCTCAAGTGGTAGAGTGCTAGCCTTGAGCTGAAGAGCTGAGGGACAACGCTCAGGCCCAGAGTTCAAACCCCATGACCAACAACAACAACAAAAAAGAATGGAGATTTCCTATTTCAAGGATGACTTTGGCTGAGGGATGGTTATGGTACTGCTTCTTGGTAGTTCTTGCTCTTTCAGAAAGCTAATGCAGTGGTATGGGTAGGGAAGTAGCTTCTAAAACCATCTCTTACCTATTGTTATTTAGTGGTAGCTGGTGATAAGTAGTATTTCTGAAGTAATTAGTCAAACACTTACTAAGTCCTAAGAAAGCATAAAGCATTGCATTAAGAACCAGCACAGATGGGGCTGGGAAGGTAGCTCAGTGGTAGAGTGCTTGCCTTGCATGCATGAGGCCCTGGGTTCGATTCCTCAGCACCACATAAGCAGAAAAAGCCGGAAGTGGGGCTGACGCTCAAGTGGTAGAGTGCTAGCCTTGAGCTGAAGAGCTGAGGGACAGCATCCAGGCCCAGAGTTCAGGCCCCACGACCGACCAAAAAAAAAAAAAAAGAAGAAAAAAACCAGCGCAGAAAGATGAGAGTCTCTGATCTGAAGAGGTTAAAATCTTGTTGGAGGTAAGACATTTATAAATAAATACAATAGAGGATAACAGGATATGAGAATAAGATGCCTGATTTGGAGAAAGAGGGTAATCAGGGAGTTGACTTTTAGCTGAGGGAGGATGAGAATTCTCAGAGGAGAAGATTAGTAGTTCATTTGTGTTAGAGGAAAAACTGAAAAAAGCATGGTGCCATGGACATATGTGGTATATTTCTGAAATAATCAACTAATCAATGTGTCTAGAATGGGAGTTACATATAAATGTATAAGATTGGTTTAAATGTATAAGATTGGTTTAAAAGGCATGTTGGAGGATTAGGGACATGGCTCAAGTGGTAGAACACTTGCTGAATCAGTAAGCCTGAAGCCCTGAATTCCATTCCCAGTACTGGTGTGTGTGTGTGTGTGTGTGTGTGTCTGTGTCTGTGTCTGTGTCTGTGTGTCTGTGTGTCTGTGTGTCTGTGTGTATCTGTGTCTGTCTGTGTGTGTGTGTGCGCGCGCGCGCGTGTGTGTGGGTGTGCACACATGTGAGACATGTTGGAGTTTGGTATGGTGACAAAATCATGTCATCTCAGCATTTGGGAGGCTGAGGAAGGAGGATTATGTGTTTCAGGCCTGACTAAACTACCTTGTAAAACCTTATCATAGGGCTGGGATGTAGCTCATTGGCAAAGTGCTTGCCTACCAAGTATCAATGT